ATTTCTTCAATAATAGGTAACGGATATACCGGATATTTAGTTATGGAGTTTAATTTACGGTAAGTCAATTGCGAATCTCCACCTTTTTGGATGTGTCCAAGGATAGTCATTATTTTTCTTACATAAAACCACCGGGCTAGCATAACTACTTGAGATGGGCGTTATGATCTTTTTACGTAGCATATCGGTAATATGCCATTCTATAATTTTTTCCTTATTCTTATCATACCGGTATGGCTTTGTGGCGAACTGGCATTGAATCTCCGGTGTCAATACTATGGTTAGTAACCTGAGTAAATCCTGGAATATCACTAAATAACGAAGCAAATTCTCTTACCACTTGTCGGATTCTTCGTTGCTCTTCATTAGGCAGGTGGTCAAGGTTTAACTTCGGCGGTTCAGCCTTTTCTTCTCAAACTGGTTTCATCGTCAGCTTAAGGGACGCTTCATTAAAATCCAGCGTTACTTGTGCCTCTGAAAGAAAATCTATTCCTAAGATAATATGTGCTTGCAGATTCTTTACTATAAAAAACATAACCTTTACTTGTTCGTCCTTGATACGGACATACAGCGGTAATTTACCTATGCACTTACATCTTTCTCCTTGCGCAGCTAACACTGTCGTATTATCCGAATTATATATGCGGTATTTACGAAAATACTTCCTAAAAAAATCTTCTGCCACACAGGAACACTGCGCGCGCCTGTATCCAGGAGTGCGGTGGCTGGGATATTATTCACCAACACTTCAATCTTCGGAAGAGTCAAATTTTTCACCATTACTGTATTTAACTTGAAGGAAGAGGGATTTCCGCACCCTCCCGTCAGCAGAAATCCGTTTTAGTTTAAATTATTTTTCATTTCCGTGCTTTCCTTCTTTTTCCACTGGCCTTGAGACTTTTTTCCTGGATTGCTATTGAACTGTCGACGTTCGCCGGCTGTTTTTGAATGCTCGGGTTTCCTTGCCCACTGATTCGCTTTGCTTCCGTAGCCGTGTGCTTGAGTTTGCTGTAGTCTTGGCGCACCAAATTGGTTTCGCTGTTGATATTGGCGTCTTCTTTCAATGTCCGCCGTTCTTCTACTTTCAAACTGGATTGCTAGCTCAAATAACTTTTCCAGTGTAGTCGGATTTCTTAATTCAATAAAGTCTTGCACTTGGGGGGGCAGTAACCTCGGCAAAATCACTTGAATTATCTCAGGATCCGGACGGTTTCCATACAAGAGTTTGAAAGACGTGAATTTTTCTTAAAATAAAGCTTGAGAGATTTTCGATTCTTTGTTGATATATACTGAAAAGTTCCGTTTCTAATTTCGCACGATCCCTTACAACAGGGAAGGCTTTTAGTAGGGCAGTCTTGAAATTTTCGTAAGTATAGGTGGGACTTCCTGCTTGACCCAAGAGACTTCTGCCTATACATTTGAACCAATTAAGCGCTTGGCCCCTCAAAGCGCTGGTAGCTAAGGTAACTTTTTGAAACTCGTGCACGGGGTAGAGCATGAAGTGGTCATCCAATTTTTCCAAAAAACTGGTTACCGGTGAGTTTCCATTAAATGTTGCTTCTGGTTTCATCGAAGCACGCATGGTCTGGACGATGTAACCAAATCCTTCCAGGGCGGCAGCTGGCATTTCTGGATTCTGAGCCGCTTCTGCAGGCAGCACAGGTTCTTCTTGAAACTCGGCCACGGTTATTCTTCTTCGTTGGGCGCCACTATCAGGTTCAATGTTCCGTCTTACTTTCTTTCTTTGGGAACATGCAAGGACCTGACTCGGAACAGGGAGCTTACTAAAGCTATGTTCAATAAATGTGGGAAGTAGACAGGATACACAAGAAGGGTATACAAAACCCTTTATTTTTCTCTCTCTTTACAAGATTTCCGTACTTCGGAATACAAAGACCAACTACTTGTGGTCTAAACGTAAGAATATAAAAATATAACTAAACTCTAACTTAACTTTGAAATAATAAACGTGGAAGATTGGCCTTATATTAACAGGAAGCCGTATGTAGTACAGAGAACTGTTAACACTACAATACGTTTAAAATTATCAAGAGGATTAAACCTCTGGCCTGAAAGGCAACCAGCAACTGAGTAAAACTTCTAAGGTAAGCGGCCTGCTTCGACTAACTCCTTCCTCTCTCTCTCTCTCGCTTGGCAAAAAGCCACAACTTAAATACTTGGCGTTCGCCAGACAAATTTTGCATAAATAAGTTAATGCTTTTAATTCTGGCCGGAAGTAGAAAATAAGAAGTGATAGTAAAGATTTAAAATAAAATAAACGTTAGTAAAACTTAAGATCCTTACAATATGCTAAAAATAAATTTTTGTAATGATACTCATAGGCCAAAAGATTACATTTAGTGCTATTTGAATCGAGAATAACTGATTTGTTTTTCACTAAAGCCAGAACTCGCATGGCCACACCAGGCGGCAGAACTTGGGGAAAAAGATTAGTTAAAAAGAGTTTCATGTGTACATGCCCCAATCATCAGTCAATTAATGGGCAGCAAAATCTGTAGTATGGTTCTAGATCCAGAAAATACCACTTCTGATATTGAAGAAAGTGACAGAGAGATTATTGAAAATGAAAAAATTTCGATTGACAAGTTAGTTGGTATTCTTGACCCACAATTACAGGACTTGAACAATTGGAATGTAAAAAATAAATTGGCGTGGAATGTAAAAAATAAATTTCAATAAGAAAAATTGACAGTATGCATTATTTTTATATCAACATGTATTACAGACAATTATACATATTACAAAGGAATTTATGACAAGAAAATTACAAATACATTATACAGATACATCTAGAATGTTAGTTGTGTATTATCCTTGAACAATCTAAGCAGTACCCGGGAAATCCTTCACAAAATTTGCAAACATATATTGTATCTCGGGGAATAGCAACTTTTGCATTGCTTTCTTAGAATTTTCTTTCTTTTTTCCCTTATCGTGTACTCAGCACATGTTCAGATTCAGACTGACCACACACAGGAGCACGAAGAACAGATGGCAGTTTCGGTAAACTTCGTGTCATGGATAAACGGTAGTCATACTGTGATGTATTTTCATTGGAATACTTATTATAGATAAAGTGGGAATTGTTCATGATTATTTGTAAATTTATTATATTGAATTACAGGTAGAGGTTTCGATTTAATTTCACTTCTTTTGTTTGTTATTTCCGCCATATCATTTTATATTCATTGGAAATGTAACTGACGTCTTTCTTATCCTGCAATCATCACACCATTAGTATACTTTGCTACAGTTTGCCCTTTCTTCAGTTTTTTTCATTTACCTCTTTTGGAAATGTCTTTCTGTTATTTCTGATTGTCCCATTGCAATGATTTTTCCTATCAGCAAGACATTTTAACAGTTCATAGCTGTTATAATAATTGTCCATAAATATGCTGTGTCCTACAACCAACATTCCCTCGAGTAAATTCATAACGACTTTTTTTCCACCAGAATCGTCCAACATGTCTGTATATATCATAAATTTCAGAACCATACCATCAGGGGTTGTGATCATGTACAACTTGATACCATATTTGTGACGTTTGTTTGGTATAGACTGTCTGAATATAAGCCGCCCATGCCACAATACCATCAATTCATCTAAACTAATCCCTGGGTAATATGTTTCAGATACTCGCACGTTGAACAAATTCACCACATCTCCTACTTTATACAGTCGATCCTTTGGAAGCTCTGTATTCTGATCTAGGATTTTTTTGAAGTGGAATGTCCTCAGTAACAACAAAAACCAAATCCTTGCTCATATTTTCTGAAAATACAGGTAAACCAAACAGTGAATCTGTTTTCCAGTAATCTTGTATACGGTTGATTTGTATAGTTCCCATATGTATGATCAATCCCATAAATACCAAGATTTCCTCTTTTGTGGTGCCCTTCCAAGTATTGATGCGAGAATGTTTCTTTTTTTCCCTTGCGAAAAAGTACTTTATAAGCAAAATCATTAGTTTCAGCAAATATTTCTTCCAAGATACCATCAGTGAGAAAATGACGAAAGAAATCTATAGGATTGTTACCTGAAACAGGTTGGAGCAAACACTCGAATTTTATGAAAGGAAATTTTTTCATTGATGTTGAATCGTTTTCCCAAATAACATTTTCCACCACAGTTGAATCATCCTGCTGACATGCAGCCTCTTGGTTCGTTCTTCATCATCATCATAATCCGAAATATCATGGGTACCAGTCGGAGGAACGAATTCTTCATCACTGTCATAACTAAAATCGCTCGGGTACTCATTCGATAGCTCGGCCAACAAATTTGCTATTTCGTCATCCGTAAGAGCCTTTTTATAATGAACTATTCTTTTCGTCGGGCGCGAAGGCCTTGCACCATCATATCTATAACTCATACTAAAAGATTATATTTTCAGTAAAAAATAAAACAATAATTTCAAAACCGTGATTACTTATATGTAGTTTCTAATTTTCTCTCCATGCCAGTACCAGAAGAAATACCCTGCATGCAATGCCAAATAAACTGGAGAATGAATAACAAGTATAGGATCTTCCCGCGCTAGCGCGTGACTGGCTGCTAAGACATCACCCCACATCACGCGCTGGCGCGTGATTGCCTCTTTGCTCAGAACAAAACGTCACACGCAGGTGCTTGATTGGCAGTCAATATGTTAAACAACTTAGATTGAAAGAAATAACATATAAATAATAAAGTAAACATATAAATAATAAAGTAAATTTTGATACCCTTTAGATCATAAATGCTACATTATTTCATAAATCATGATTTCTACATGCTATCTTACTAGATTTAAACTGATGAACTAATATCCGGATTCCAAATCCAGGCTGGCCAAAGTGTTCTGCAAATTACGTATAGTTGTATAGTTTGTGGTTTGCATGTTTCAGAACTGAGAGCTAGTAAAATTCAGCACTTCTTAAATTTTTTGAATAATTTATATGTTAATTTTAGTAGCTTTCTTAAGAAAATTATTTTTCAGATATATGAACATAAGGAACAACTTAATTCTATGAATGAAGAGTTAACGATGATGATAAGTTGTTTTAAGGAAACACAAATTATTGCTAGTCGTTCACGCCAGAGAGCATCATCACAGGAAAAAGTAGTTTCAACTTCCAGGAGGTCAGAAGTTTGTTTTAAACATGCTCAATGGAGATTAACTGATGCTGATGGGCAACTAGGAATTTCAGATTTAATTTTAAGTAACTTTCTGTAAGTAGAGAAAGCTGAATTTTAAATCTCAGTATTTTTAGCTTAATTTTTAATAGTTTGAGAATACTGATAAGTTGAAGTAAATGAAAATGGTAATTTATGTTGTGTATCAGAAAAACTAAAAGCATTTGTTTGAATTGAATTAAACATGCCAAATCTTTTTTTTAAATATGTATTAAATATTTTTATATGTAGGTTTTTAAAACACTATTTTTTTTCATTTTTATGCATTATTTTATTAGATATTTTGTGTACAATTAACCTTTTGTTATCATATAACATAATTTTCTATATTTCTGTATTCTAAATTTCCATAATAGGAATTCTGCATTTTCCTGTGACATTGATAAAAAAAAGGAAATCAATGATAACTACTGCATAAAATTCCTTTCCTGAATGTTAGTAAGAGAAAAGTTTGTCTAGTTTTTAGAAAAAACCAACTGTAAATGTACCAGAGAAATAATATAAAGAAATAGGTGGCTAGCATTTATTATTACAATATTTTCTTTAAGAAAAGAGTTTAAAAAATTAATTAAAAATCTTACATATATGATATTATTCTGAGTAACATAAATAACATTACAGGTTTATTAATCCTTAAATCCTATTTATTTAAATGATAATTAATTTTTGTTCTGCAGTTAGCTGTTTATATATTTTTTTAAATAGTTGCTGCAGTATCTAGAATTCGACATTTTCCGATGGCCTTTTTTTTTTTTTTTTTTTTTTTTTTTTTAAGTTTCTCTGAATTAAGTTTTATTATGCAGTAATGTTTAGGTGTGAATTTTTTATCCAGCAGCTATTTAATAGCATCTCTTCTCAATGAAAACTGTTCATTTTTGCCACTTTGCCATTTTTATATATCGTATATATTTAATTTCCGAGGTTACCGTCCTTTTTTTTTTTTTTTTTTTTTTTTTTTTTTTTTTAAAGCATTGTCTCTCCCGCCCTCCAGGGATCTCTTAAGTACCGCACTTCTCGGCCAAAGCATAATGCTCAATTCTTTGATTTAGAGTTTCTGCAAATTGTGCAGAAAGTTATTTAGACCGAATTTTAAAATGTCTCCAACCCAACTGCAAAAGAAAATGAGATTCTTTTTTTATTCCGAAGCTTATTTAATAATGTTTGTAAAGTGCTCATCTTGTAATATCTATAGCACTTATGGATTGGATTCAGCAATATTGATATTCAGTCTAAATGCTTGGTGAAAAGAAGTTGTAAGCAGCACAAATTGGTACATACTGTCTCCCCACATTAATCTGATTTCTGATGCATCTGATCGTGTTAAAAATTCTAGTATTTTTTTTTTGGGGGGGGAAACAGTTTTTATGAGATTCAGTGATTTATTTTATGTTTTGTGAAATCTTGTTATTGATTTTGTTATTTTAAATAGTACATGCCATACGAGCAACCAAACAGTTCATACACTTCGCACGAGGGGCGGAGTCTATATTTTTCCAATAAATAACAAAGAATGTCACTATTTACATGGGAGTGGAAATTTTAGGAACATTGTTTTTCCCTTCCCTTTAAAATGGGAATTGAACTTTACTTACTCGGGAATTGAACTCATTAATGGGAACCCTTAAATGGGAATCGAGCCCATTAATGGGTGGACGATATCCAGTAGGAACTCAGGAATGATAATGTGAATGTTTCTTTTCAATATATGTTGTTTTTCTGCAACATGGAATGTCAAAAAGACTCAAAATTGTTAATTTATTAATTTAATAATTTATTTTTTAGGTATTCCAAAGTGGCAAAAACAGATGATTCTGTTGAACATCTTCTTGAAATAGGATATATAAAAATGCGAAATTTACTTCCAAATCAAGCATATAAGGTAATGCCTAAGAAAATCATAGCATATAAGGTAATGCCTCTTGTTATGCCTGAAGAAAAATGTATGAATTTACGAATATCAAGAAACTAATTTCAGATGACGTAATAACGCAGGACATATCAAAATTTGAATTGCATTTTTCCATTCTGTTATTTGGCAAAATTTGTTGAATTAAGGTTAAATTTAGGGAACTATGTCATGCCAAACAATTCTCTTTGATGACTACTTCTGAGTATTAGAACATAATCTATCTGAAACACAATCTCTGTAGAGGATTAAAATTATCTGGGTATTGTAAAGTGTGTACTACATATTATTGCAATTTTCATAATAAAAATGACCAAGGTTTCAGAATGTGCTGAAATCTGGCAATCACGTACATAATAATTCTTTTGGCAACCATGTACATTCAAATTCTTCAGTTTTAGCAACTGGCATCACCATATTTATATGTTCTTTTTTGTTGTATTCTGTTCAACAGTCTTTATAAAAAATGAACTAAATATTTTATTAAAGAAAGATACTAAATAAAACTAAATACTAAATGTTGAAAAACTATTGAACTAAATATTAAATTTCTGCAAAATATGTATAAAACTAAATATTTTATTAAGGAAAGATACCAAATAAAACTAAATATTGAGTACTAAATGTTGAAAAACTATTAAACTAAATATTGAATTTCTGCAAAATAAGTACTTTTATAGAAAGAAGCTAATTGAAATTATAATATGTGACTATGTTCTTAAATGAAATAATATCGATATTATAACGAGAAGTAAAAACTATTAAATTTTGATAAATAATAAAAAGACAAGTTCCTGATAATAGCCATATTTCTTAAAATGAAATTATGAATGAATTCAAAATAGGGAAACAAATATAGAATTTGTAAAAAAAGAAAAAAAAAACAGGAAAACCATTTTCTATATAGCAGAGTAAGAAGAATGGAAGAAAGGGAAAGACAAGCAGGAAAATTTTTCCAATATATGTTATTATAAAACTAAATTTATGTTATAAGGTATTTCTCCTACCTTCTTAGCATGCTTTCATGGTGTAGTGGTGTGCATGCTGGGCCCCTATTCCTGAGGTCCGTAATTTGATTCCCAGCGAAAACGTTCCTCATTTTTCATCTCTCCCGCTTCCAAAAAATGCCTATTTTCTCTACAGTGGCACCCAAACTAAAAGGTTGGTTGATGATGATTCTCCACACCCAGGATTTGGCGGTTGGATCCCCAAAAACCCCAGTCGTCCTTTAAAAGGGGCAGTATATAATGTATTTCTACCGTCTTCTTAGCATGCCTTCTTAGTGTGGTGGTCTGCACGCTGGGCACATAGTCCAGAAGTCCGTGGCTCGATTCCCGGCGAAGGCATTACTAATTTTTCATCACTCCTGCTTTCAAAACTACCTAATGTCTCTACAGTGATGCCTGAATTAAGAAGGGTGGTGGATGATGATTCTCCACACCCAGAATTCAGCGATTGGCTCCCTTAAACCCCAGTTGCCCTTTAGAAGGTGGAGTATTTAAGATATTTCTCCCACCTTCTTAGTGTGCCTTTGTGGTGTAGTGGTCTGCATGCTGGACGCATATTCCAGAGGTCCGTGGTTCGATTCCCGGTGAAGGCTTTGCTCATTTTTCATCTCTCCTGTTTCCAAAAAATACCTAATGTCTCTACAATGTCTCACCAAAAGAAGGTGGAAGGAAGAAATACTGCATTATTAATCAGATATTGTTAAATCATCTTAAGACTGAAAAGGGAAATTTGTCACTGAACTCAGCAAATCAAACCGTTGAATCAGTTTAGCTGATTTAAATTTTTACAATAAAATGAAAGAGTTATTTTCCTGTAATGGCTGATCCTTCTCTTTGATAATATTAAGTCTTTGCAGAAACAGTTGTGTGGGGAAAGTTTTAATTATCAATTAAATTTATTACCAAAAAATATAATTCTGCAAGCTGTTTAATGACATTTTGATGCTTGTTTGGAAACATTTGAGGGCAGTGATAAATTTTAATAATCAAGAGAAATTATGTTAAAATATGAAACTGATGGACAGATTTGTAGGAATTCCTTAAAGTGTAAGGAGCCTACCAGTGGCTGAGTGTTTAAGTCACTAAATACTGGTAGTTCAGTCCAGGATTCGAAAGCTGGCGAATGGGCTGGTTGCATGATGTTTTTCACATGTAATGTGTATAGCAGTTTTCCTTATAAAGGCATCCTTCCTGTTAGGCAGATAGCCTCGAGTGCTTTGCCAGAATCAAATAAACATAGCCAAACATTACAGTATAAGTAACTTTGGAGAATAACAGAAGAATTCTTGTAATTAAATTTTACTATCTGATATGAATAAATTTGTAAATTGTTAGGAATTAAATGAAGTTACTAGTTTGGAAAAAGTTACAACCTGAAAAATTCTATTATAAACAAAAAGAAAAGTAAATATATTTTAAATTTTGCTCACAAATAGTAGTAATAATAATAACTGAAGTATGAAATGAATTCAGAAAGAAAAGAAATGTTTTTTGAAAGAAATGTGTAACTGTTAATCAAATTCAGTTTAAGAGAAATTTAAACTTGTATCAGATTATGCTTATTAATTAATTTGTTACTATGCGATATTTTCTAAATTTTTAAGATTAGTTTTACTTCCTTGTATGAAGTAAAAATTCTGGGTATCATATTTCAACAAAAATATCCATTTTGACCGCTATTGAATGCAATTTAACAATGTTTTTGCGTAATCTGTATGTGAGGAGAAAATAAAGGACTCCCCCCCAAACAAATTATAAAACTGATTTAAAATGGATTCAGAAGAGATTTTTTCTTAGCGTCTGTATGCATGAATGTATGTATCTTGTACAACTCAAAAATGAGTAGCCTCAAAACATTGAAATATTGTATATAGGACTGCTATAACATGTAGTTGTGTACTTCCCTTTTTGATTGCCATCAACCACACTAAAAGTAAATATATATTCACTCTGTTACTCGGCTCAGTGAGCTCTGTTTCTTTATTCTTATATGTTTGTAAATTGTGCATTATTTGCTTTAAAAATGATTCAATTATGTTGTTCTTATCTTCTGGTTAAGGTTTTTATGCCTTTAGTTTACCTGCATGTTATAGTTGTAGAATTGTCAACAATATTAAACTTAATTCAGAAGTCAAGCAAAAAAAAATCAGTGTTATATTTTCAAATTTTTACAGAAGTAGTTTCGATGGTTTAACCGAACCATCATCATCAGCTGGAAAAATGCAAATGAACGAGACAAGGTGTAATGATTAGATAAGATAAGAAAGTCTGGACTGGACACAAGCCACTGGCGCCATCTGTTGATGAAACCAGACTTAAAGCATAATTTCTTTAAAGGCTGAAGGCAAAGATGGATTGGAATTAAAGTCGTTAACTAGAACAGAAAGATTTTTTTGAATGTGAAATGCCTCTAAAGAAAATCTAAGTTCACCAATGGAAGATGTTTTTTGAATAATTTTGGCAGCAGAAAAATTGAAAGTGTGATTTTTGGACCAACAATGTTGGGCAACAGAAGACTTCTGTGTTTTCTTTTTTCTAACATTTGCCTCAGGTTCCTTTATGCAAAATTTTAAGGCTCTCTTAGTTTGCCAATTTTGTAAATTAAGCCACACTGGCAAGGAATCCTGTAAATACCCCAGGAATTCATATCCAGAATGGGGTCCTTGAGCATTGAACTCGGAATTTTATTAATGGGAGAATAAACAACCCGAAAGTTAAATTTCTGCAAATTACGTGCAAATTTATAGCTAATTGATGAAAAGAAGGGAATGACAACAGAACTTTTATAATCTCCTAACAAGAGTTTGCCTTTTGCAGGGTTTGTGCGGTCCTTAAGAGTCCTTAAAAGTCCTTAAGTTTTTGGAATCGATTTTTGGTCCTTAAAAGTCCTTAATTTTGGACAAAATCAGCAGAAGGTCCTTAAAAGTCCTTAATTTTGGACAAAATCGGCAGAAGGTCCTTAATTTTAATCATGTGAAATTTCTGTCTGTTTTTTACGACTGCCATTTTGAGTGGGAATTAGCAGTTTGGAGGTATATTTTTGGCGATTCACTGATAAATATGGTTATTTGAATGGGTTATGATTTTCCTATTTCTAATATAAATGGTGGGATACTCGAGTTTCTGAGCAAGAAGTGAAACAAGTACTTCGAAATTATTTCACTTTTTCTAATGAAGCACTCTTAAACAATTTTTCGCTTTTGGGGATGTGAATTCTTTTATTGAACAGATCTAAGTTGATAAGTTGACTGAAATGTTGATAAGTTGACTTATCAACATTTCAGTCAACTTATCAACATTTTGGCGATTTTTAAGAACAGTTTCTATAGAAAATTTTAAATTCCATGAGCTGGGAATTTTTCGACGATTTTTTTAAACATTCTAACATTGATAAATTTCATTAAAATAATGTTATTATATTTAAAAAAATAACGTATTAATTTAAAAAATATCTTTTCAATTTTTTCATGATAAGAGTTTTCTCTCATGTAATTGTCTCAGAGTATTCCAAATTCTCAGAATATGCATCAGTTTTCTCTATAAAATTAATTAATCAATTTCACACTTTTTTCGTCTTTTTTTTTTTTTTTTTCAAAATATTTCTGGCTTTTTACTGTTACAAAACTGGTAGGAGTAATTTTTCTTCGGGACATTAGACATTGCAACTTGAAGAAGAATGCGACTTGGAAAGTTTAGAAGGATTTGATTGCAAGATTTATAGACCCATGATTCCATAAGATTTTAGAAAAATGTGACAAAATGAAAAATATCGCTATGGTATTAACACATAATGGATGTGTTTTACAGAAAGTTTGCAATGAATTTCTTAATTTTTGGATAACATCTGGAAGAACAATGAAAACATAATATTTGAATGTTTTACTTCTGATAGTAGAAGTCTTTTTCTTAACATGTTTATCTTTCCCTTTTGTTTTTCTCTACTTTTCACTAGACACAAGTATGGAA